ATGGTTTGTATATATCGTGTATATACATATATGTTATTCATACATTCGGTGTATAGGACGCAAACAGATTTTGACAACAAATTTTGGGGTAAAAAAGTGCGTCTTATACACCAAAAAATACGTTATGTCACAGTATGATTAAACCACTTTGTACATGATTTATAATCTTACAAGTTTGATCTCAACGTTCCAACTACAATAGCTTAACAACTGCAGTTAGTTTATTAAGTGATTCTGAAGAGAGGTATAATGGAATTTGTCATAATAAGTTGTGAGATCAGTGAAATCTTATAAAAAATAATGAAAAACAGAGTTACCTATACTTAGAGAGCAGTGTCATTCATCATTAAAAACAGTCTCCTACATGAGTAGAAGGAATGTACACTCAACAGAAGTTATGTTAGTACAATGTTATTTGATAGCTCTTGTTTTCTCATACTCTGTATGTACATATGATGATGATAATTTTCAATGTCCAACAGGTTTGATGGAGGGTACAATTAGAACATGTGGCTCAATTCCATTTTCGTTTTATTTAATATATTATTAAATGTCAGTGCTCCATTAAACAGTAGTATATTTTTGTTTGGGTAACCTATTCATAACAACTTTGATGTCAGTTAATTCCACAAAAATAATGTTCTAATTGTTATAATAGTAACTAAAACCTATAAGGCATATTATTGATTAAGAATGAAAAGTAAAAAACATGATTTAAACAGGTTTATCCAAATTTTGGGTTCTCACAAGATCCCAGACTTAATAGCATTTACTTTTGCAAATTAGAAATGTTTGTCTTGTACGAATGTTTCATTTCTAATTCTTTGGTATTTTAACAGTCGACTCCAGTGGGTTCTCTTCAGACAGGACATGAAGTAATAGTTTCACCTAACAGAGAAAGACATGTCACGTCAAATACAAGGGTAATTCTTATTTTAAAAAACATTATTTTTCTAGTTGGTGTTATGAGTAATAATTGTGCCTTAGTCTAGTTTGAGATTAAAATGTTACTTGTGTGTATATTTTACATATTGAGCACAGGTTGCAGGTAGTGTTCAGCTTTAATTTAAAGTATACCTTATTAAAAATAAAAACAAATTTCCATAAATATTGTGTATCTCATACTGTTCCATATGGCCCTCATTTTAAAAGAAATCTTACTTGCACAGAAAATCCTATTTAACACAGAAAAATCAGTAAAATATGGATAACAATGACTGTCAAAACACTAAAGATTCTATACAATAGGACTTGTATAAGTTACTACTGGAACACAGCATCTGTATAAAGCATTGCTGCATTTATTAAATGGAACCTTTGCAGTTACTGAAATGCACCACCTGTTAAAATAGTACAGTTACTTGAAAATAGAATCTGTTTATCTTATGGAAATGAACTTGGTCAATTTAACCAATCTTGCAACAAACATACTATAACTCTGTGAAGTGTCATTACAAAATTTGGAAATCTTTTAGTAAACATTATAAGTCTGTTATGTTAAAAAAAACAAACAATTTTTTTTAATAAAGTATTTCTACTAAAGATTTGTTTGTGAGGGTAAGAAACCTTTACTGAGTGAGTATGTGTGAAAGATGAATTACATGATAAGAATAGAAATAGCTTTTTTGATCTTACAGTTTTCATGTTTCATTTTTATAACTATAGAACCTTCTAAGTGAAATCCAAAGTTTTTTTTTGGTAGTCTTTATATTTTTTTTATCTTGTATTTTCTCTACTGTATAATGCTATCTGTAGTGAAATCATTAATGTACAGAGATGGCAAAAACTTCAAAAATCTGAAATAAAATACCCCTTTTTTTGTTTCTAGAATAACTGATTGAGACAGACAGTTACAATTATTTTTCCTAATAGCCTCAGATTTCTGAATTTTCACTCGTGCTTGATTTTAATTTTACTATTTTACAATGCCCTTTAGACCTATTCTAAACCTGTGATAGACAATTAACTATAGCAGGAGAACCTAACGTAAACAACTGATTGAGTTACAGCTACATGATGATGCAGTTAGCTTGAACTGTTCATTTGAATTTCATTTATTTTATTTTCATTAAAACAGTAATAAAAAAGTATACATTAAAAAGCAAGATATTCTGGATTTACATTAAAGTTGAAATCCATTTCAGTAATTTGTATTCAAGAGTGTATTCCATAGCACAAGTTCTTTCATACTATGCTGTTTCTCCTTAAAATCCTTAATGTTCCTTTCAATTATGCATTTCAGAACAAAAAATATGCATTAGGCACCAGAGTAGAATATCCCAAAACTACTATTTAATCCTTTCACATTGGGCTCATGTAATTTGCAGAAAATGTGTCCTGAATTTCACTTGTGCAATAATACATATGGTGACTCTGTGATTTCTTAATGTAACCTCTCAAAAACTGGTAAGATTTTGTTAAAGATCATAAGTATCTTGTACAGAAAAAATGAAATTATTTTAATTAAGTGTTTTTACTAAAAATATGTTATTTATCTATTGTTGTCACTTGCACTGAAACTTATAAATCAAATGCAAGGTGATTTTCATTTTAAGTATAAAAATACTTTTCTTCATCTTATATTTGTCATATTTCATTATCATCAACATACAGTGCAATGAAATGATTAAAATCGGGAAATAGAAAAAAAACATACCTTTTAATTTTTTGTAGAATATCTTTAAAATATTTTTCTTTTGTTAACTTCATAATTTTCAGTATTTTTCTTTTCACATATGGTTAATTTTTACCTTTACTATTTATTATTCATCATAACACAAGTCAACTGTGCCCTTGTGACATATTAGTGTCTCTGGGAGACATGCACAACCCTTTAGCAAAATTTTCGTTCAGCAAGTAATATTGTAAGCCTTGAGAACTGATGCAAAGTATGATGTATATCTAAAAAATGTTTAAAACTTTCAGTTATGCATTTTAAAACTGAACTAATACGTAATTAACTAAAATATAAAAGTAAGACCTAAATACAATTTAAACTGTATCTCTAACTATAACATATTTAGGTAAGAAACAACTGTAAATGCTATAAACAATCAAGCAACCATCAATACTACAGTCAGTTACATGTACTCTGTAATGACAACTATGTGCCAATTTCAAAATAACTGTTGTTAGATTATAGTGTAAAATGAGCTTTTTCTAATGACTATATACATACATATGTAACCTCCGAATGTAGGTTATAAAACTCAAATCTGTTGAAGGTGAGTGTGGCACCTGTCAGAGGTTGACAAAATTTATTACTTGTTTCAACTGCACTCATTCAGAGAACTTTGAAATGTATGAATCAAAAGGTTATGTAAGCAACTTGATGTCTAGACATACCTATACTCATCTACCATTGTATTATTGAAGATACAGAGAGCCAAAGTAGAGTATTTTCATAGCTCGTTGGTCACATGACAATACCTCTGAAGTTTTAAGTGTTTTTTTAAAGGTTTCTTTTGAAATAAAAAATTAAAACTTAGATAACATAAAACTTTGAATCATAGCATACATTATAATATTAATTTCTTTCATATACGTTGATTGTAAAGGTGTTTAATTAAATTTTGGATGTAACACAGTGACTTCTGCGGAAGAGTGTTTAAAGGGGTACATGTTGTGAAAGGGTTAATTGGATCTCTGACTAAGCTATAAATAGTTAAAATTCTTTTAGTTTCTCAAAGTTAAATACCACAATTGTAAACAATGAAATTGAAGCTAAATGGCATCAAAAAAAAAGCTGCCCTTCCTGTTGGTAACAAATATACCATTAGATATGTCAGAAAAATGTCATATGTGTCATATGGGTTTGACATTTTTTTTATATTTCAGTAAGGAAAGTAGGCTGAGGATTTTGAATTTATATTTTGGTTTTTCAATGTCTATAATATGCGTTTCTAATTAGTAGGGTACAGAAAATTAAGAGTAAAAAGAAAATCTAAAATTGGCAATTTGTAGTGCAAATATGTCATGTGACAAAGAAGTGAAGAGTGAGAATTCATTTAACTTTTTTGAAATGGGATGGGTCAATTCAACCTAGTCACATGACCTTCTGTACTCGTTTAAAGTTGACATCAATTTAATACTTATAACTCTCTATATATTGGGTATATCTTCATGAAACTTGGCAGTCTTTCAGTTAATATTACAGTCTTTCACATACAAAAAGCCGTATTTCTTAGTGAAGTACTTTAATGAAATAAAATAAAGTTTTGTCCATGAATATATTGAGCATTTGTTTTGAATAGTCCATGTGCAAAGTAATTTTCACGTTAAAATTAAAATTCTTTTTGTCATCTCAAATTTCTTTTCTGTAATCCCTAAAACCTCCTAAATGCATTTCAAACGTTTTTTTTCACTAAATCCTCATAGTTTATATGTTATATCTACCCTAATCTCAAAACTGGATCGGTCAATTCAACTGATCTCATAATCACCAAAAAAAAATTGACATAAACCTAAATTAACCATCTTTTCTTTCT